CCCGGGGCCCCCCCCGAAGGGACCCCTAAAAAACCGGACGCCCGGCGGATAAGGAGCGGGGGGGCCCCCAAAAAAGGGGGGGGGAAAAAAAGGGAAGGAAAAGGGGGGGGGGGATGAGAGCTCTCTTTCCCCGTTCCCAAATATGTCAGCAGACAGAGACAGTGATGTATGGGGTTGAGCATAACTGGGGCAGTCCCCCCCACACAGAGAAAAGAGGGAGAGCAGAGAGAGAGAAGAAAGAGAGAACAGAGAGGAGTGAGATAGTGAGATAGTGTGGTCAGGCATGAATAAAATCTGTGTATTCTGCTTCCCAGGAGTCAGTGCAGTTGTGTGTGGAATTTCCATGTGTGAATGAATTGAGATGATGCCACTGCACAACACACTGACTAGTGACCACTATATGACCGTAACACAATCCCTCTCTCTATTTATCTCTCTCGCTCTATGTCTGTCTGTTTCTGTCTCTCACACACACACTCTGTTTATCACCGGGAAGGAGGAGTAGGCTTTGAGTCAACCAGCCTTCACTCCACTCCCCTAGTCTCTGTCAGCAGGGTGGTCAGGTGAATCATTGACCATAAATACACAGACACAAGGACAGTCATAATCACACATCAAACAGTCAGTTCCACATTATCTCCAAAAACAGCACCAAAACTCCCATGTCTATTTCTAAAGAGTGCTGTGGTCAACTGACTCTGCTTCCCGCTTCCCCATACAGTGTGGTGAATCAGAAAAAGTCTGCATTGACCGGAGAGTGACCACTGGCTGACCACCATGTCCAAACAAACAAGCTGACCAAACAGGCGAGCCAATCCCCCATAACCTAGACAGACAGCTCAATCAGCCAATCAACTAATGCTTAGGTCATGCTGAGAATGAGAGTCCAGTCTATGAGGCAGCAGTGATCATCATGGGTCAGCAAAATAGAGATATAACCTATTCACCAGCCAGGAATGCCAGATCACAACTAGAAACAACAAACACAGAGAAGAACTGGAAGATGTGCATACAAAGACCGTAGGATGTGGCCCACATGTGGAGCGTCTATGAACTTTCCCCCATCCCTGATGCACATATCTCTCGTTCCATCTTTTTAGTCTTATCTCTCCATCTCCTAACCCCTCTCTTTCTCCCTCACCGAACCTCCACTACATCCTAGCCCCTCTCTCCACCCCTAAACCCTTTCATCACTCTACCCCTCATCCTAGCCCCTCTCTACACCCCTAAACCCTTTCATTACTCCACCCCTGACCCTAGCCCCTCTCTACACTCCTAAACCCTTTCATCACTATACCCCTCATCCTAGCCCCTCTCTACACTCCTAAACCCTTTCATCACTCTACCCCTCATCCTAGCCCCTCTCTACACCCCTAAACCCTTTCATTACTCCACCCCTGACCCTAGCCCCTCTCTACACTCCTAAACCCTTTCATCACTCTACCCCTCATCCTAGCCCCTCTCTACACCCCTAAACCCTTTTATCCGTCCATGCCTCCCTCCATCCCCCCTCCTTATGATTTAAACTATGTCTCCTCTCCATCCCTTCATTAATAATTGACTATCTTCCTCCTGCTCCAATTAAATAATTAACTAAGCCTCCAGCTGTCTGTACCCCAGGGCAGTCTGTCTGTGACCCTCTATCTGTCTGTCTGTCTCTGTCACTGTGTGTGTGTATGTGTGTGTTTGTGTACATACGGTTGCAAAGCTACCGGTCATTTACCAAAGTTAACAAAATTTTAGTAATGTTGGCAATTAACAGAAAAGCTATGGCAATCTATCGTAACTTTGGTAATTTATTCTTGAATAACTTGTTAAAAATGTATTCATATATAGTATTCCTTTTTTATATCTGTGTCCATATTGTCAATGAGTTTCTAGAAGACAGACCATGGTTAAAGAGAAAATAGCCTAATTAATGACAAAAGCATCTAATCATCAATGGCATGATTTAACTCAACTCTTCCAACTATTGACTTTTCTTCACAACTGCCAGTTTGAGGCCATAACATTGTCAACAAATACATATTGACAATTGTATTTAATTATTTCATATATTTTACATGTGATAAGGCCACGCTGAGATTCAGAGATAATTACAGACACCTGCGATAATTTGAAGTACCCAAAAGGGCCACTAGATGTCTTGTGATAGATTACATAAAATCCTTGAACGATCCCAAAATTCTGGTAGCTTACTGGTAAGTTTTAAGTAATATACAGTCGTGGTCAAAAGTTTTGAGAATGACACATATATTAATTATCACAAAGTCTGCTGCCTCAGTTTTTATGATGGCAATTTGCATATACTCCAGAATGTTATGAAGAGTGATCAGATGAATTAATTGCAAAGTCCCTCTTTGCCATGAAAATGAACTTAATCCCCAAAAAACATTTCCACTGCATTTCAGCCCTCCCACAAAAGGACCAGCTGACATCATGTCAGTGATTCTCTCGTTAACACAGGTGAGACTGTTGACGAGGACAAGGCTGGAGATCACTCTGTCATGCTGATTGAGTTAGAATAACAGACTGGAAGCTTTAAAAGGAGGGTGGTGCTTGAAATCATTGTTCTTCCTCTGTTAGCCATGGTTACCTGCAAGGAAACACGTGCCGTCATCATTGCTTTGCACAAAAAGGGCTTCATAGGCAAGGATATTGCTGCTAGTAAGATTGCACCTAAAATTAACCATTTATCGGATCATCAAGAACTTCAAGGAGAGATGTTCAATTGTTGTGAAGAAGGCTTCAGGGCACCCAAGAAAGTCCAGAAAGCACCAGGACCGTCTCTTAAAGTTGATTCAGCTGCGGGATCGGGGCACCACCAGTGAAAAGCTTGCTCAGGAATGGCAGCAGGCAGGTGTGAGTGCATCTGCACGCACAGTGAGGCGAAGACTTTTGGAGGATGGCCTGGTGTCAAGAAGGGCAGCGAGGAAGCCACTTCTCTCCAGAAAAAACATCAGGGACAGACTGATATTCTGCAAAAGGTACAGGGATTGGACTGCTGAGGACTGGGGTAAAGTCATTTTCTCTGATGAATCCCCTTTCCGATTGTTTGGGGCATCCAGAAAAAAGCTTGTCCGGAGAAGACAAGGTGAGCGCTACCATCAGTCCTGTGTCAGTATGAAAATGTATGCACTCACTAACTGTAAGTCGATCTGGATAAGAGTGTCTGCTAAATGACTAAAATGTAAAATTGTAATGCCAACAGTAAAGTATCCTGAGACCATTCATGTGTGGGGTTGCTTCTCAGCTAAGGGAGTTGGCTCACTCACAATTTTGCCTAAGAACACAGCCATGAATAAAGAATGGTACCAACACATCCTCTGAGAGCAACTTCTCCCAACCATCCAAGAACAGTTTGGTGACGAACAATGCCTTTTCCAGCATGATGGAGCACCTTGCCATAATGCAAAAGTGATAACTAAGTGGCTCGGGGAACAAAACATCGACATTTTGGGTCCATGGCCAGGAAACTCCCCAGACCTTAATCCCATTGAGAACTTGTGGTCAATCCTCAAGAGGCGGGTGGACAAACAAAAACCCACAAATTCTGACAAACTCCAAGCATTGATTATGCAAGAATGGGCTGCCATCAGTCAGGATGTGGCCCAGAAGTTAATTGACAGCATGCCAGGGCGGATTGCAGAGGTCTTGAAAAATAAGGGTCAACACTGCAAATATTGACTCTTTGCATAAACTTAATGTGATTGTCAATAAAAGCCTTTGACACGTATGGAATGCTTGTAATTATACTTCAGTATACCATAGTAACATCTGACAAAAATATCTAAAAACACTGAAGCAGCAAAGTTTGTGAAGACCAATACTTGTGTCATTCTCAAAACCTTTCACCACGACTGTACACTCCCTTTTCAACCCTATGTGTACAACACCTAATGGCTAATGTCCTGATACAAAGAACAGAGGAAGTGAATCAGCAGGACAATCAAAAGATCATTAAGGACAGGTGATATCGTACTAAATCTAAATCCAGTCAGACGTGGTATGTCGTGCCCTGGTGTGAAATTCTAATGGGAGAGACAGGAAAGGGGGATCTCTCTCTCTCGCTCTCTCTCCCTGTCAGAACACTAGCTTGCAAGAGTTTGACAGCTTCACAGGAGCCAATGAAAAGTAAATAAAACAAATAGTCAACAGACTACAGACTAGAACAGGACATCCAGCACAATAAACTGTTAATTAACCATCCTGAACACACAGACTCACAGCTAGGTCTGCCTCGGTATGCCGCACAGCTTAGTAAGACTCACTCACACACACACACCCGGAGTGGATCACCCTGTCTGTACACAGACATAGGTAATTGATCAGAGGATGGATATAGGCTAGCCAGATCAATCTCATTGATCACACACTGTTTCATCAGCATGTGGAGAGTGTGTGTGGGGAAACACCCACTTTGTGTGTTTGTGTGTGTCAATGAGTGTGTGTGGGGAAACACCAACTATGTGTGTGACGAGGCAGACGGTTTCAGCCCCCTCCCCCACACTGGCCCCGACCCTCACGTCATCTCCCTGATACTCACCTAACCCTCCCCCTACCTCAGTGCTCATAATGAAAAACTCCTCCATACTGTTGCATTGTGCATACTCTACCCACTGACTGTGAGTGTGTGTGTGCGTTTGACGTGTGTGCATCTGTGTGTGTTTATGTGTTCACACAGACAGGTGTTTGTGTGTGAGACATACCAGTGAGGAGTGCTTGTCCCTCTCTCAGCTCCTTGTCCACGGCAATACTGTACTCCTCCTGGGAGAAGCCTTGTGTGCACGGCAACGACCCCTGCCTCCGTGGCAACGACCCCACAGCCCCTCCGCCATGCACAGCAACCTGGAAAACAGAGAATTAGAACAGAAGGCTGTGAACTACAATAATCAATATAATCCTAGAGGGGTTACATGTACTTTAAAATGTATGCACTATAAACTGCTTTGTAAAAATTGTCTGCTGAGGAGCTTATATTAATAGAGATAACAATGTAATAACCACTAATAAATATTATGATAGGCAAGAGAAGAGACATATTAACCAGCTTCAAATGCAATATAATATAGGCTGCATAAAAGAGACATATTCTAAATGTAACATAACAATATATAGGACTATAACTGCATCAAATAAGATCAACAATGATGGCACATTAGGAGGGGCTCTGCTCAGTCGCAGAGACAGAAGGCCACTTCTCTATGCCCCACTCCCTGCCCCCCTCACAGAGCGGCACAATGGCATCTGTCACTCAGGCAGGTGATTAGAGTAATGAGGGTAAGGGTTAGCGGGTGGCATGATTAGCCTGTCGGCATCCCAAATGGCACCCTATTCCGTATAGTGCTCTACTTTTGACCAGGGTGCCATTTGGGATCCAGACCCTGCTACTACAGCACTTAAGAAGGTAAACACACCCTCCACCTTCACCCTCGTGGTGATCACAGATCTGACATGGCTATATATAGGTGAACCCCTTGCTTGCTTTCACCTATAAGATGGTTTTCAGATCAGTCATTAGTTCAATGGAGATATGAAGGAATAGGGTATCTCAGAAGTATTCAAACATCAGTGTGAGAGCAGAACACTACATGTTGAGACGGAGCTGAGACCAAACCAGCAACATTATAGATCGGTGTGTGTGACTGTGTCAAAAACCGGTAACCCTTCCATTACCCCGACTAACCTGTACCCCTGCGCATTGACTCGATACCAGTACACCCTGTATATAGCCTCGCTATTGTTTTTTATTGTGTTACTTTTTATTTTATTTTTTACTTTATTTTATTTAGTAAATATTTTCTTAACTCTATTTCTTGAACTGCATTGTTGGTTAAGGGCTTGTAAGTAAGCATTTCACAGTAAGGTCTAACACCTGTTGTATTCGGGGCATGTGACAAATACAATTTGATTTGGAATTTCATTTGATGTGAATTTACTCATTCATCTCATTCAATTCTAATCAATTCTAATCTGCAAACTCTCTGCAATCACTCTATTTATTTGCTTCTCTGTTGCTTATCTTACTTTACTACATAAAACGTCTTTAGACATGTTTCAAATACCTATACTGTGCTAAATGAATACATTAACACAATGAATATGCAAAACCAAACGGGTTGGGTAGCCTATTGAACATGCTTTGAGGGGATGGGGGTAGCTTTCGACACAAACCGGGTGAATAAATATTGTTACATCCCAGTGTTTACTGGCACTAACATAACCGCGAGCTGAAATATAATAAACTGTAGCCTACTCGATAGGCATGATAAATCTGTTCAATCAGTGTCCTCCTCATTTAACAACTCGATAGGCATGATAAATCTGTCCAGCGTCCTCATTTCACAACGTGTTAGCGATGTGAACACTAATTCAACATTCAACAACATCCACCCTGCTCGGGTGATTGACAGACTGCCTGACCGCCTCAGCCCAACTAGACCACGGCTTTGCTGTTGGCATGGGACTGACCCTAACCTGAGACTCGGGTCATCTCTGTTAATTTAATATTGGTTATCAAATTAGGTTATGGTGTAGCCAACGGACTAAAAAACAATAGGCTATCCCTGTAAGTGTGTGTTTGCGCGTATTTGTGTGCGTGCGTGTACGGTGCATGTGTGTTGCTGCATTAGCATCTCTAAATACCATTCTGATTTGTGTTGCGGCAACTGGCGATTGTCCGGCGGCTACTTTAATGTCCGTAAATTGTTACTGTTGTTGTTGAGCCGTAGCCTACACATCCGATTCAGTGCATGGGTGCAACTTCAGCCTGGTGACTCGTCTACACAATTATAACCGTAACAGCATTCCATATAGGCTAGAAGTCTGTTTCTTTTTACACCCGTCCCACAACACCGCGTAGCCTATAGATTCTGAATTATAGGAGAATACATAGTAGACAAATCTGTCCCTGTGGGCAAAAACTGGTTGAATCAACGTTCTTTATGTCATTTCAACAACAAAAATTAAATGAGATGTTGAATCAACGTGGCAAACTGATTGGATTTGAAAAAAGTCCTCAACGTAAAGGAATTGCATCTTTTTTTCACTCAACTTTTAACCTAAATCCAATGACATGGTGACATTTTTTGTTGATTTCACGTTGAATTCACGTTAGTTGACAACTCAACCAAATGTAAATGAACTAGGCGTCGAACTAGCTCGATTAGGAAATTCGGTAAATAACTACCATCATCGAAGAGCAGTTCAAACTTCAAGTGTAGACTACTAGAACCAATAGGCTACCCTATTACCGCAAGCTCGCGTGTTAGACCGATATTCTTATTACAAGAACATATGTATTTTAGCATAACGCAATGCTCAAATAGGCAACATTTGAGCGAGATTTTAATGCATAGTCTAAAATCAATACAAGCCAACGACCTAATATGGAGGCAAAGTAGAGAGAAATAAATGCAGTCTGTCCCCGCAGACGGAGTCAAAGAGAGCCAACCCGTCAGACCACGTCCCACCACCACACACACCACTCCGTCAACCAACGCAGCGGCTTCTTACCTGCACAGCTGCCAGTAGCATCAACAGAGCGCCCGCGGTAAGAAACATTATTACAATTCCTGCTTCGAATACGTTGTGAAAAGTCCCTCTCTCTTCGCGGTCCAATTGGAGAATGCCCACTAGGAAATGGGCGACAGCGGCATGTAGAAGGTAGCCTCTTCTCTCTCTTCTCCGTCCCTGCTCTGTTCTGTGCTATGCTGCTGATCGGAGTGCACTCTTGACTGGTACTGAGGCTGAATTACTGACTACCAGTCGGAGCGACCAACAACACGGGCCTCCTTGTCTCTACCTAGCGGACAACATCAAATATGGCAGGAATCACACAAAAATTGAATTTCTCTCCCACGTTTTCCTCTCTCTCCTTCACTCCGGTTCGAGAATGACAGACCACGCCCTCCTGTACAACCAAATGACAGTCCTCCCCATTATCCATACTGGCCACTTTAAGAAATGGAACACTAGTCAATTTAATAATGTTTACATATCTTGCATTACACATCTCATATGTATATACTGTATTCTATAATATTCTACTGTATCTTAGTCTATGCCGCTCTGTCATTGCTTGTCCATATACAGTTGAAGTCGGAAGTTTACATACACATTTTACATTCCATTTTAGTCATTTAGCAGACGCTCTTATCCAGAGCGACTTACAGTTAGTGAGTGCATACATAATTTTTTTTATTTTTTCATACTGGCCCCCCGTGGGAAACGAACCCACAACTCTGGCTTTGCAAACGCCATGCTCTACCAACTGAGCTACATCCCTGCTGGCCATTCCCTCCCCTACCCTGGACGACGCTGGGCCAATTGTGTGCCGCCCCGTGGGTCTCCCGAATACATTTAAAATCAGTTTTTCACAATTCCTGACATATAATCCTAGTAAAAATTCCCTGTTTTAGGTCAGTTAGGATCACCACTTTATTTTAAGAATGTGAAATGTCAGAATAATAGTAGAGAGAATGATTTATTTAAGCTTTTATTTATTTCATCACATTCCCGGTGGGTCAGAAGTTTACATACACTCAATTAGTATTTGGTAGCATTGCCTTTAAATTGTTTAACTTGGGTCAAACATTTCGGGTAGCCTTCCACAAGCTTCCCACAATAAGCTGGGTGAATTTTGGCCCATTCCTCCTGACAGAGCTGGTGTAACTGAGTCAGGTTTGTAGGCCTCCTTGCTCGCACACGCTTTTTCAGCTCTGCCCACAACTAGGATTGAGGTCAGGGCTTTGTGATGGCCACTCCAATACATTGACTTTGTTGTCCTTAAGCAATTTTGCCACAACTTTGGAAGTATGCTTGGGGTCATTGTCTATTTGGAAGACCCATTTGCGACCAAGCTTTAACTTCCTGACTGATGTCTTGCGATGTTGCTTCAATATATCCACATAATTTTCCTTCCACATGATGCCATCTATTTTGTTTAGTGCACTAGTCCCTCCTGCAGCAAAGCACCCCCATAGCATGATGCTTTCACCCCTGTGCTTCATGGTTGGGATGGTGCTCTTCAGCTTGCAAGCCTTCCCCTTTTTCCTCCAAACATAACGATAGTCATTATGGCCAAACAGTTCTATTTTTATTTCATCAGACCAGAGGACATTTCTCCAAAAAGTACGATCTTTGTCCCCATGTGCAGTTGCAAACCGTAGTCTGGCTTTTTTATGGCAGTTTTGGAGCAGTGGCTTCTTCCTTGCTGAGCGGCCTTTCAGGTTATGACGATATAGAACTCGTTTTACTGTGGATATACAGTGAGGGAAAAAAGTATTTGATCCCCTGCTGATTTTGTACGTTTGCCCACTGACAAAGAAATGATCAGTCTATAATTTTAATGGTAGGTTTATTTGAACAGTGAGAGACAGAATAACAACAAAAAAATCCAGAAAGATGCATGTAAAAAATGTTATAAATTGATTTGCATTTTAATGAGGGAAATAAGTATTTGACCTCCTCTCAATCAGAAAGATTTCTGGCTCCCAGGTGTCTTTTATACAGGTAACGAGCTGAGATTAGGAGCACACTCTTAAAGAGAGTGCTCCTAATCTCAGTTTGTTACCTGTATAAAAGACACCTGTCCACAGAAGCAATCAATCAATCAGATTCCAAACTCTCCACCATGGCCAAGACCAAAGAGCTCTCCAAGGATGTCAGGGACAAGATTGTAGACCTACACAAGGCTGGAATGGGCTACAAGACCATCGCCAAGCAGCTTGGTGAGAAGGTGACAACAGTTGGTGCGATTATTCGCAAATGGAAGAAACACAAAAGTCAATCTCCCTCGGCCTGGGGCTCCATGCAAGATCTCACCTCGTGGAGTTGCAATGATCATGAGAACGGTGAGGAATCAGCCCAGAACTACACGGGAGGATCTTGTCAATGATCTCAAGGCAGCTGGGCCGTCTGAAGTTTGCCAGTGAACATCTGAATGATTCAGAGGAGAACTGGGTGAAAGTGTTGTGGTCAGATGAGACTAAAATCGAGCTCTTTGGCATCAACTCAACTCGCTGTGTTTGGAGGAGGAGGAATGCTGCCTATGACGCCAAGAACACCATCCCCACCGTCAAACATGGAGGTGGAAACATTATGCTCTGGAGGTGTTTTTCTGCTAAGGGGACAGGACAACTTCACCGCATCAAAGGGATGATGGACGGGGCCATGTACCGTCAAATCTTGGGTGAGGACCTCCTTCCCTCAGCCAGGGCATTGAAAATGGGTCGTGGATGGGTATTCCAGCATGACAATGACCCAAAACACACGGCCAAGGCAACAAAGGAGTGGCTCAAGAAGAAGCACTTTAAGGTCCTGGAGTGGCCTAGTCAGTATCCAGACCTTAATCCCATAGAAAATCTGTGGAGGGAGCTGAAGGTTTGAGTTGCCAAAAGTCAGCCTCGAAACCTTAATGACTTGGAGAAGATCTGCAAAGAGGAGCGGAACAAAATCCCTCCTGAGATGTGTGCAAACCTGGTGGCCAACTACAAGAAACGTCTGACCTCTGTGATTGCCAACAAGGGTTTTGCCACCAAGTACTAAGTCATGTTTTGCAGAGGGGTCAAATACTTATTTCCCTCATTAAAATGCAAATCAATTGATAACATTTTTGACATGCGTATTTCTGGATTTTTTTGTTGTTATTCTGTCTCTCATTGTTCAAATAAACCTACCATTAAAATTATAGACTGATCATGTCTTTGTCAGTGGGCAAACGTACAAAATCAGCAGGGGATCAAATATTTTTTTCCCTCACTGTATGTAGCAGATTTTATTGCGGGTGTAGTGAAATGCTTGTGTTCCTAGCTCCAACAGTACAGTAATATCTAAAAATTCACAACAATAAACACAAATCTAAAACTAAAAGAATGGAATTAAGAAACATATAAGTATTAGGACGAGCAATGTCAGAGTCTGGAGTAAAGCGGCGTGAACAGGCCGTGGCACGGGTCGTTGATGTCCTTGATGATCTTTTTGGCCTTCCTGTGACACTGGTGCTGTAGGTGTCCTGGAGGGCGTGTCCCGGTGATGCGATGGGCAGACTGCACCACCCTCTGGAGAGCCCTGGAGAGCCCTGTGGTTGTGGGCGGTGCAGTTGCCATACCAGGCGGTGATGCAGTCCGACAGGATGCTCTCCCTGACAAGATGCTCTCCCTGTACCAGGCGGTGATACAGCCCAAAATGATGCTCTCCCCGGTGCATCTGTAAAAGTTTGTGAGGGTCTTAGGGGCCAAGACACATTTCTTCAGCCTCCTGAGGTTGAAGAGGCGCTGTTGCGCCTTCTTCAACACACTATCTGTGTGGGTGGAGCATTTCAGATTGTCAGTGATGGGTACGCCGAGGAACTTGAAGCTTTTCACCTTCTTCACTGTGGCCCCGTCGATGTGGATGGTCTGCTGTCTCCTGAAGTCCACGTTCAGCTCCTTCATTTTGTTGACGTTGAGGGAGAGGTTATTTTCCTGGCACCACTCCGCCAGGGCCCTCACCTCCTCCCTATCATGTTACCAAAAGGTGTCCACTGCTAAAATAAATCTGACCCCACAAAAGTGCATGCAAGCACATGGATCTATTCACGTGAAGCTTGTAGCAAGCTACATTTAAACGTGGTGGGAGAAGGGGGGAATCTCAATTGGTTTTGCTTGCCCCCCCCCCAATTTTTTTTTTGCAATTTAGAAATGTGGTACTGCATCAGTAGTTTTCCTCTTTACCTCCTATTGATTTTGTTAGTCACTCTCACTCAGATATCATATGAACATGTCATAAGTTTTCTCTCCATCCAATGGCAAGATTATTAGAATTGCATGAAATTTGCTATAAAACTGCAATTGTTTCTCTCTGTCCCATGGAACATTTGGAGAATTGCAGGACATTAACTTTAAAGCTGCAAATGTTTCTCTCCGCCACCAAGAGGGGGGGCACTACAATGCTTTGCCAGTGAGGTGGGGGGACCCCAACCAAATCTCTCTTAGGGCCCCCAAAATGCTGGAAACAGCACAAAGGTAATCGAGAAGCGTAAATTAAGAGAGAAAACGTGGAAACAAATGCGCTTGTATTAAATGAGAATCTCCTGCTCCACTCATGCGTCATCAGGCAAATGATGTTTACAGGAGTGGAATCCCAAAATAAATGTGTAAAGTAACACATTTAGCTAGATGTGCAAGACATTTTATAGATAAAAGGATAAGTACCTAATATTTTTTAAATGTGTGCATGCTTTTCTCCTTCGAGAAAACAGCAGCAGATTAAAAGGGGTTGTGTCAAAGTATGAATAAACAACACTCCAAGCCGCAGCTTCATACTACTTGTCAAACATAGAGAACTGATACTGTACAGTATACTGGCCATTAGGGATTAATATTTTCCCCAAAATCTACAAAGTTTCAATACCGGGAATAATTCATATTTATCCCTAGAATTGCGGGAAATACAGAAAAAATCGGAAGAGCTAATTTAAAGCATTTAAAACCAAGGTATGGTCACTAAGCCAGGGTTCTCCCCAAATAAGGGGGGTGCTGCACCACCTTATTGGCTTGTCTGCGCCACGTTGTAAAGATTTC